GGCTGGCTGGGGGGCCCACCCTGCTGAGCGGGGCTCTGGGGCGGGGCTGCATCCTGGACCCCAGGGTCCGCCAGCGATTGGAGGCTACCAGGCGTGGAGGGGGAGGCGGACAGGGACTCCAGCCCTTTGGAAACGGACGCCTTTTGGTTCTTTTTCTTCTGCTTCTTCCTTTTGCTCTAGACAGAAAGAGAGGCGCTGGTTTCACTTCCCAGGTGCACTCCACACTCACCACCTTCCCTCCAAGTCCTTTCAGCTGCTCACGAATATCAAGCTTAGCTCGACCAGCACCTGACACCCGAGGGAACTGCCATCTCTTTTAAAACCCAGAACTTAAATATGCACACATCTGCATTCATTTCAGAGAGGAAGGGAGAGCAAGAGAGAGAGAAACATCAGTGGTGAGAGAGAATCATGGATGGGCTGCCTCCTGCACGCCCCATACTGGGGATCGAGCCCACAACCCAGACATGTGCCCTGACCGGGAATCGAATCATCATAGGACGGCGCTTAACCACCGAGCCGTGCCGGCCGGGCACCCGCCATCTCTTTATCTTGAGAAGAATGACGCTGAGACACAAGAGGACGGGGTGGTGGGCAGAGTGGGGGACAGTGGGCCTAAGCGCAGCCGACAACCTCATGGGGCCTCCTGGGGGGGGCAGCCCCGCGAGGCCGGCGCGGGCCGTCAGCGAGCAGGTCCGCGCTCCTGGACTCACTCTCGTGTGGAGCGTATGCTGTGCAGGAAATCGAAACGGAGGAGAGGCTGGGGCTGGGGAGCAGGTGGAGTGGCCCCCCGCCGGCCCGGGCACACGGCGCCCCCAGGAGGCCCTGCGCGGGGCGAAGAGTCCCCAGCTATGAAAGCAGGTGTGACAGGACCCTATGGGGACGAGGCTCCGAGCTGAGGGCTGAGTAGTCCCTTCAGGACCAGTGACCCGTGACCCCGAAGGCCAGTGACCTGGGTTAGGGGGGTGGGAGAACATGGGGTGCGTCTGCGCGTGGGGTGGGGTGGCCTCGCTCTGGGTCAGCTCCTGGAATCCCCCAAGAACCCTGAGCAGGCCTCCTGCACGTCTGTCTACAATCACAAGCACGACACACGGCCGCCCCGGGCAACCCTGAGGGCGGTTTCCAGGCTCCCCAGCTGCCACCTGCTTCATGTTACCACGCGCACATGCACACACACACACACTAGCACGTGCACACGCACTCACACGCACATACTTGCACACGCCCACACTCACAAACACGACATGCCCGTTTGCTTGTCTCCTGTCCCCTCTAGAATGGAAGTCCGTGTGCTCTGCTCGATACCGTGTCCGGACCCAGGACGATCCCCGGCACACAGGCGCCCAGCGAGTCTGCGCATGAGGCCGCCGCGTCTGCAGCAGCTCTGCCTCCGGGAAGGCCCCGAGCTTCCTCTCCCCGGGGCGGGGCGGCACCCTCAGCGAGGTCCGAGCTCAGGTCCTGCAGGGCTGGGCTCCTCTGGCTGCAGTTCCTCGTCGCCCTCTGACCTGCTCTCTCGTTCCCACTGTACGTGCTTCCCGGGAGCTGCCGCAGGCCCTTCCAGAACCAGGTCGGACGTGCGGCTCTCAGCACACAGCGTGGGGGGAGGGGCGCACACCCAGGTGGCCTGGCATGCGCCGTGCTCAGGGCGTGGGGCGGAGACCTAAACCTTCCCTTGACAAAAATCCAGTTTCACCATGGTTTCTATGTGTATGTCTTGTGTGTACATGTTCCTCATGATGTGTACACATATGTATGTTTTCTAATGAGCGTGGTCTTCCACTGGACCATTCTGACTGTGGCGACTTCCCACAGGAGCCAGAAATGCGCACAGTGGGAGCGCACGCCCGGACAGTGGCCACAAGTGGGGTCATGGGGGAGCTGGGGCGGCCGGGAGACCCGCCAGCTGAGCGGTGTTCGTGCCGAAGGGAAGGGTGGGCATTGGTCTCACTTGGTCGCCTGCGTCTGTTACAAACGCCCTTCGTGTGGGCTTGACGTGCAATAACAGCTTCCTTTTCAGTGAGGAGATTTTTGATGGAAGAGACAAGAGGGAGCCTTTGGGGGCTGGAATGTTCTCTAGATGGAGGGGGCTTACGAGGCTGAACACAGCTGTATACGGCTGCACATGGCTGTACACATGGCACATGGCTACACACAGTTGTGCACGCTGTACACAGCTGCACAGGGCTGCACGGGTCTGTACACGGCTGCACACAGCTGCATGCAGCTACACAAGTCTATACATGGCTGCACATGGCTGCATAGGGCTGCACAAATCTATCCATGTATACACACCACACACACTCTCACACAGCACACACATCCCCAATACAACCCCCACACTCACACACAGCACGTACATTCACCACACATGCACACCTCTACTCACATATGCACCCCCCACACCCCCTACACTCACACACAGCCCATACATCCACCACACATGCACACCTCTACTCACATATGCACCCCCCACACCCCCTACACTCACACACAGCCCATACATCCACCACACATGCACACCTCTACTCACATGCACCCCACATACCCCCCCCCCACTCACACACACATGGACCCCAAGCGCCTCCTGCGGCGGGTCCCGCCCCAGCCACCAGGAGCATCCACCAAGGGCCAGATAGGACACCCCATCTGGGCTGAGGGTAGACTCTGCCCCCAGCCTCCCGAACCCGTCCGGGAACTGCCCGCAGCCTGGCCTGGTCCCTGACCCAGGAGCCCCTCGGGGCTGACGCTTGTTGGGAGGCAACCGCCTCCCAGGTATTTCCCGAGCGCCCGCCCTCATCCGGAGCGTGGAGGCACCTGGGGGTCGGCACCGTCAATGCCAAGAGGACAGAGGGGCGGGCACCCGGGGGAGAGCACAGC